AGGGGTGCCCAAACTCGGTCCTGGAGGGCCGGTGTCCTGCAGAGTTTAGCTCCAGCTTGCCTCAACACACCTGCCTAGAAGTTTCTAGTATGCCTAATAAGAGCTTGATTAGCTGCTTCAGGTCTTTGATTAGGGTTGGAGCTAAACTCTGCAGGACACTGACCCTCCAGGACCGAGTTTGGGCACCCCTGATCTAAACAATCAGTTTGCATCATTAAACAAAATTATTATTCAGTTAGCTAAAAATATGCTGGGATTTTAACTAACAAAACTATGACTAAAACAAGAAAAGTAAAAATGTAACACTGCACTCTACTGAAACTACACATAAAATAATTTAATCAAATTAAAATGTACTATTTTACTTAAAGGGGTCATATGATGCGATTTCAAGTTTTCCTTTCTCTTTGGAGTGTTACAAGCTGATTGTGCATAGATAAGATCCCTGAAGTTGCAAAGACTAAAGTCTCAAAACCAAAGAGATATTCTTTATCAAAGTTAAGACTCTGCCACACCCCCCTAAAACGGCTCGTTCTAACACGCCCCCACATATCTATGTCACTATGTGGAAATATTTGCATAATGTGGCCCAACTGTTCACGCAAAGAAAGAAGGCGTGGTTTCAGTAACCGCAGTTAGTGTTGAAGCAGCCACCAAATACACAAAATAATGATCTTTAAAAAAGCATCATATGACCCCTTTAATGTTTGCAGTATCACAGCGTTAAAGTAGCAACATCAGGATTTTTAAGCTCAAATTTAAGACTTTAAGACCTTCACTTACAGCCCAAAGAGGGAACACCTACTCGTGGAAGTTGTAAATAAGGATGCACACTCTACTGGACAGAGGAAACCCCTGATTGATATGTCACACAAGATGGGCAGAAAGACATGACGAGTTTTTATTAGTTTCATTCATATTTTTGTTAGTTTTAGTTTAGTTTTTATTTTGTGAACACATTTTTATTTAGTTTTTATATAGTTTAGTTTCAGTTTCAGTTTTAATAAAAGTTTAGCAGCATTAACAGATCACTTCCAGAGCGCAGGCCAAAGAAAGATTTAACCTTTGTGAGGCAAACATATAGCGACACAAAATTAACGCATGCTGAGATTGATTAGATAGTATAAGTATACAAATATACGCCAAAGAAAGCAGTCAAGCCTGTTTTACTAAATTAATCTACACCAGTTGCGCTTAATGTCATATCCAATTATGTGTTGAGATATTTAGTATGAATGTAGCCTGATTTGGTTGTCTTTTCTTATTTAACCATAATCATGATATTAGGCTATAACTGTGGTGTCTTGCTCACTTTTCCGTGAACAGCCGTGCATAAATCAAAACTGGGACTAATGAAATTCAATAATAATGGCAATCACATTTAACAGTAAAGGCTTATATTTGAATGTTCTTTTCATTTATGAAGAATTATAAGCGTGTGTATGTTGTGATTTAGCCAATGCACATTTGTTCAAAAGCCTGGCAGAGTGATCAAAAGATGCTAGGCAAAAGTTTTGTGTTGTTTACAGAAAGGATGCGCGTTCTCATCCTTTTTTCTGGTAATTATCATGTTGTGTTGCGTGTCCGTTTTTCTTCAAAGCACCAATTTAAAATGCCTAATGTTGGTTTGATTGCTTGCGTTACATGAAAAAAATAAATAATTTTGCCTACCTGATGTAGTAGATTTAATGCGGGTGCGGTTCGGGTCACAAGTCGCAGTCTTTGTCAAACGGGTCTAGTCAACATAGAATTAAATTAGTGCTGCTGTCGGATAACGGGTCGGGTGTTCTGTTAAGTACTGTGTCTGTGGGTTTACCAAACAGGACCTGTGCAGGACTCTGCTTTAAACTGCTTTGCGTCTCTCTGTCAGATAACCCCATGTGCGTGATGCGCCATTACAGGTAGGCTATTTCCCTAAACCTCCACACAGCTGTATATTTTTCCGCCAAGGGGTGAGAACAATGATTACGAAAACGATTATTTATTTTTGATAAATATTATTTTTTTTCAGTTAGTTTTTCAATAACTGTTGTTAGTTTAGTTTCGTTTTAGTTTTTCAATTATTTTGGTGTTTTTATTTTATTTCAGTTTACAAAATTGTTTTTTCCTCAATCGTTTTAGTCTTAGTTTTAGTTTTCGTTTACGAAAATAACCTTGGTGATCAGTTCACAGCAGTGATAGAAATTAATCCATTTCCAACTAGTTTTATGGCCATTTTTACCTTTAAGCCATTTTTTCTAAAAGTGTGCACCATCTTTTGAGTCAAATTCTTGCATTAGGGTTGTTACCATGCAAATTAAATCAGTATCAACAAAATTAATCTTTGCAATGCAGAGGAAACACAGAAGCTGCATTAGAAGTGTCATCTAGATGCATTTACACACTTTTTAATGCAGCTCTGAGGGACATTAAATACTTAACCTGCAGTTACAAATGCATAAATAATGTTTTGATATTTTAAACATAAAACATTGAAAACTGATGTTTAAAATTATTTAAAAAATTAAAAGGTATCTTAAATGTGAAATTAGAACCACCAGTAGGTGGCAGCAAGTCACTGTTAATAAGTGAGTCATTGCGTTTGAACCGAATCATTTAAATGGGTGATTCATTCAGGAACAAAACAGCGTCCTGTTGCTCAGAGACGCAAAACAGCGCTGTGGCTGTTTGAAATGATTTTTGTTGGAGAAATAACGTAAGTCTCTTAATATTAACTACTTGTTTACTGTTACTTGTTAACTGTAGTATAAAATCAATATCACATTTGTAATCATGCTTACTTTTGGAGAAAAAAATATTAGTGTGATAGTGTGATATTAATTATATCAATTGATTTAAATATATTAATTTTCTGCCCCATATCTTAAATTATGTGATAATTCTAAATGAATTTTAATAGACTGATTCATGCAGTGAAAGAACACACTCTAAATGCGTACGAGCACTAGTCTAACCAACTAGACTTCATCACCTAACGTATGCGTGCACTCTGTAGGTGTGTTTTGTGTTTGCTTTTCACGATATACTCATAATATCAAATCGCATATCGTTAAAACAACAATTACGATATTATCGCAGACCATACATATAGCACACCCCTATGTTTTTATAATGTCTTCTTATCGATCCACCAGTTCACATTTAAAGCTCTGTGTGTTTGCAGGGTAAAAACATGGGTCGATTTTCGCATTGGTCTGAACTCTGAAAAAAAACAACAGTTTTATTGAAAATGCTCATTCATTCTCTGCCAGCAGGTGGAGCGTTTTGTAGAAATATAAATGTTTCCCCGGTAACGGCAGAACACAAAGCAGCGCAGCACCGGACTCTGAACCTGCAGCGCTTGTGTTTATTCAATGAAATCATAGCCTTTTGAAGTTTAATCGTCACATTCAGCCATATCGCAATTCTGGTCTTTCCATCCCCAAATTTAAGACTTTCTTGTACAATTTAAGACTTTTTAAGGCCTTAAATTTGATACAACTAAATTTAAGTCTTTTTAAGACCCTGCGGAAACCCTGAACATGCTAATATCAGAATCTATTGTTAGTCAAGTCTTAAGTGTGCAATTTGTTAGCAGTGCTTTTCGTGTGGAATGCAAACAGTTGCTACCTATGAATAACATTTCAGATCAGATCATATGAGGTTACATTCAGTTAGGATACTGCCTTAGAAGGCAGCTGACTTTGTGAGATGCAGACAGTGAGGCAGCTCACTAGGTTTTGGAAGAGTGCTAATGACTTAAAGCTGTACCTAATTGTGTGACTCATGAGAAGGCAGAGATGCCAGCTACACAAAACATGACTTATGAAACGTAAAGGTCACATGGGATGACGTCCCACTGCAGAAGG